GAATTTTAGCTAGCCTGACTACTGCTTCAGCATATAGTAACAGAGAATAGATCAATCAAGATCCTAGCACAAAAATTACCTCAAAATTTCTAAGCTCAAGATCATCAAAACATTCTTTTTATAGAAGGAAAGAAAACATTAACTTAGAATTTTTTACACTTTAAAAAGTTTTTTAAAAAAATGATGAGGTCTAAGAACCAAGTCTTTTAAGGCTTACAATTCATGAGGCTAGTAAGTATAGTAATGACTCAATAGAGGCAACAAAGGTGACAGCATCCTTGCAAACATACAATAGATATAGCCTTGTACATTTTGTACACGGGTTGGCACCCCTTTGGTGTCTGTTTATTAATGATACATTTTATACTTTTTAGTTCCAAAAAAAATAAAGATATAGCCTTGTATATTGACATAGTATGTTTTGAGTTATGCCCTATTAACTTACCAACGGAAGTATACTTGGCACATTCTAACAAACAGATCTCTGGAGAGAAATGAAGATCAAAAGCATAAAAAAGATCGCAAAGAAAATCCCCATAAGTTCTACCCAGCAAATGATCAGCCAGAGTCAGGTGAACACAAGAAAATTAATAGGATGTACCTCTCATTCATCTTCAAAAATTGTAGCCAAATAGAAATGCTTTTCTAGTCTAAGCCACCAAGGAGACCAAACAGTGACCAGACAGCACATAATGGCTTCCAATTCCACACTAATGTAACTCACTTAAATGATGGTGCATCATAAAAAATATGTCATGGAAGGTTATCAGGGAATATAAAGTTTAATCTAGAGGTGGTTTCATGAAAGACCTGATAAGAAAGTGCTTTCACCCATGCGTTTCTGTCCGCACCAAGCCACGCTGTTGAAAACCACGATAACTTTGATAATGAACTCTGCTCTTTAATTGCTAACTCAAAAACCCTGGCTGCGTCATGCAAAGATTGCACAAGTCCATCACTGTAATCCTGATCTTGCAGTGACCGATTTAGTTTGACCATCATCACCTCCACATCACCATCGGTACATGCCTGGGGACTCCCATTGACGGTCACACCTTCTTCTGCAGATGCACAGGGAAAGAGCTGCCTCAGCCTTCTTGATCTACAAAAGATTTTCTTATAAACCAGAATCCGTCGATTAAGACCATGATTTCCATTCTCTAAAAAAGTAGATCTTGCAAGGTATCTCTTCCTTGAATTGCCTGAAGTACTCAACAAGTAATCCAAGTCAGCCTCCCTTCTGCAAGGAATACAGGTTCCAGGTGAAACTCATGAAAGCCATAAACTGCAAATTCCTGATTCAAAAATTAGCAGCAACCACTCCACAATCCTCGACAGTAACAAGCCACATGAAAAGGTGGGGATCTCATTAGACATGGTAAAACTGGTTATCAGTGTCACAAGATTTGTACAATGCCAGCATGTTTCCTCTTTTTATTTGGAATACGACCAGAATTTATATCTTTTCCCTTCTCTCTTCCACTTTAATGGCTTCGTACTATGTTCTATAAACCAAGAAGCAACTGAAGCTCCCAGTTCACAAATATTTCAATAGCATTCTGGTCATAACAAAGCAACCAGGAATAGTAATGCTCTCACAACTTAACAACAAAATTAATCAAACAAACGCCTTTCACTTACCAAGAACTAAAAGTCTAAAATCCCTGCAAGAAGTTGTTGGCAGTAACTGGACAGGCAACTGTCAGTTAAAACACAACTAAACTTGAGAATCCAATAAAACTATGCACGGCGTATCCTACTGATTCAGTTTATAACCTACAAATTCTATATAATAACTTAATTCAGTGCAATTACGAGGTCAACAACAAGAATTACAGTTTTCCATTTCAAGTATTTCTCGTCCTCTCCTTTTCCTCCAGTTTCCACGCAACTAAACGGAAAAATTTCTAGACAAAAACAAAGAATTACTACTAATTAGTGGCAAATGCCTGGAAAAAGAAAACCCTAATTGCTCCGACTTGCTCTGGCATACACAATAGTTACGAAGAAAGAAAAGGAAATTTAAAAGACGAATTCGTGATTACCTCGACGATATGAAGCTGCGATGCTGCAACTTAACTGCCATGAAAAGAAAACCACGGAGAAAGAGAGAAGGAAACGAGGAACAATCAAGAGGAAAACCCAGCCGGAGGAATGGAACAAGGGTGAGTGTGGTGGGGAATTCCCCTGTTTGTGGGCGGGGAAGGAGAGGATGACGTGGCGAAACGAATGCTTTATCCGGGGATTCGGTAGACGTGGAAATGCCAAAGATCACAAACCCAAAAAATTAAAAATGGATGTCTTGCTAGCTTTCTGGAAAGTCGTATTGGATGGAGCCACGTCAGCACCATAAGGCCATCTCCTCTGCGACCGTGACATTCTTGTGTGAAATCCCTGGTAGCGTTATCTTTTCCTTCGACTCCAGGCGAATTTTCAGATTTCGGGTTCTGGGCCTTGTTTTCTTTTTGGGCTTAGGGCTTAAATTCGAATTCACTTAGTTTGAATAAACGGCCCAGATATTTAAGTCCACAATTTGAAATAAGTAGATTTTAATCACAAATTTTTTTATAAAAATTCAGAATTTATTTCGAATTTAAGTCAATATTTAGCCTAATTCAGACTCTTATAAAAAGCTTGAGAACTTTAATTTGTCTTAAAAAATTAAAAATTAAGTTTAATTACCTTACGTGAATCTACAAATTTGAATTGGCTGCTAGGAAATATGAGGCATTGACCAAAGTTGGTATAATTCCATTTACAAAAAAAAAAAAAAAATCATGTTATAATTACAGTACTATGAATGTGTGTAACATTCGAATATGGATGGTGGTCAAGTCAAAAAAAGCCAGTTTATATCTGTGCGTATATACATACATATATAGATAATAGATGAAAAAAATATATTATAATGTAATAATCATAGAGTTAGACCATTAATACATACATATATGTATACAACACCCGTACAAATTTTAAGCAAAAGTCAACGGTTAGAAGCAATAAAATTTGGTTGCACGCAGCTCGTGATCGAACACTATCATTGGCTTCGCTATTGAGGCAAGGCCGATGACGATACCCGACGGCGTGCCCTCCAGTTAATGATAATTAAATTTAATATATATTAATTTTATGGGGTTTAATTTTTAAATCTGAAGGTAAATGAAGACCAAAAGTTTCTTCAATTGCGTGTCTTAATAAATAAATAAATTATACGCTAAACTAGTTTTTAATATAATTGATTTAATTAATAATTTGAGAAATAGGGATTATGTCACGTTTTTTTAAAAAAATAATATCCAACAATTTATAATTGACGAGTCTGAATCATCCCTAATCTTCGTAATTAATTAATTAATTAAAATGGTCTAATGGTGTTTCGGATTTGTTTAGGTCAGATTTGGTGTTTGGCATTTTTGCAGTTTGGCGGGCTCAACATGGAATAAACAAGAAAATATTATGTACTATATTATATATATATATATAAATGCCGGTGCAATATTTTTTAATTATACTGATATTTTAAAGTAATGGGTTATAAAATTTATAGATTAGTTTGATAAAATTCAACCAACGCTATTAATGTATATAATTAAAGGGACTTTTATTTGATAATTGTATATATATATATATATATATTAAAGGGACTTTTATTTGATAATTGTATATATATATATATATATATATTTTATAAAAAATTTATGGGCAGATCGAAGTGTTTAATTAGAATTTAAATATATAATTTTTTTTAGTTACTTTGAAATTTGTTATTGATTGTTATTATCATATATATTAAGCTCGAGATTAATCTAATAAAAAAAAACAAAAGGATAAATACAAAAAGTGTGTACTATATTATTAGGTTATAAATAGGAAAACATTAGGAACACTATTATGTATATTATGAGTCATTATAATAATAATAATTAATAACAAGTTGCAATTCAAAAATTTGAGGCAAATGAAATGGTGGTACCTTAATTTTAATGCTTTTATCAAATGACAATTATTAATTATTTATACTGTCATTTTTGTAAGATTAAAATATTTTTTAGTCAATTCAATTAATTTTTTATTATCGAGTTTAAACCACATTATAACTATAAATAAGTAATTAATTATAATAAAACTAAAGCTTTAGAATTAATAAAAAAATAATATTGGCAGGCCATAGACGATGGTTGAGATATTGAGATTATGAGACAATCAAGAAATTTAATGACCATCTTATCCGATTTTTTCTTCATATAATTAAATAATTATAATCAAGTAAGCTTTTAATTAATTAACTAGTAAAAATAATCAAGTGGGTCAGTTGCTTCATTCAATTATTACTTTTACAATAAAAAAATTATATTAGATGCGCAACCGATATTTCTTACCATATAATTAAGTATTTGATTAACTAACTAGAAAATTTTGTATAATATTATTTAAATTAATAAATAAAACTGTATTTTATTTAATTTATTGATGTATTATTAGAGATACAACTATAGAATTAAGTTTAAGTTTAATGATAAATGTAAATGGTCAAATTAAGTGGCAGTGTTGTTATTAATTGAAATTTCGAGGATACTTAATCAACATCATAAAATTCAGATATATATAAACTCGCAACTACAAAGTTAACCCAGAAACAGCAACACCACCAGCAGGAATGGCTTGCTCTTCTGCTCCACCGTCGAGTAATACCGCAATCAACGCCGTCGATCAAACCATCACACCAACGATCTCCACCGTCCATCACAACATCATCGAGACTCACATCTTAACCCGTCTCGACGGGCCGACCCTCGCATCAGCTTCTTGCGCCTCTTCACATCTTCGCGCGCTCGCATCCGAGCAAACTCTATGGTCCGATATTTGTCACTCCACGTGGCCGTCTACTGACTCGCCACGTCTACGCCAGGTAATCTCAGCGTTCCCCAAAGGAGCCCGCTCGTTCTTCTCCGACTCATACCCTCTGGTAACATCTCCCGCCAACTATCTGCCGAATCATAACCGTCCATCGGAGTTAATCTCGGCCGTTGATGTTTGCTACCGGGGGAAGCTGATTTTGAGCAGAGTGGTGGAGACTGAAACTGTCACCGGGTGGTTCCGGTGCTCGCCTTTCAGGGTTGACCTGCTGGACCCGAAGGACACGGTGCCGACGCCGATAGGTCCTCCGGACGAAACATGTAAAGAGCTGGGGAATGACTTGACGCTGACCTGGATCGTAGTCGATCCTGCCAGTCGGCGTTCTATGAACCTTTCGAGCAACAAGCCGGTGTCTGTTAACCGGCACTGGCTGACCGGGGAGGTGCACGTGCGATTCGCATCGGTACTCGCAGGCGGGAAAGGTTCTTCATCGGAATTGGTACAGTGTGGAATTGTGGCAACGTGCGGGAGCGGGGCCGGCGGAGGGGAAATGCACGTGAGGGAGGTAAGCCTGCAGGTGGAGGATATGGATGGCATGAACTTAAACGGGAGGGACAGTTTGGTAATTTTGCAGAAGGCACTGGAGGGTAAAAGAGGAAATGGAAGGAGGAGGGAGGAGGAAGGGAAGAGGAGGTATGATGAATACTTGGAGAGGAAAAGGAAGAGGAAGGAAAGACGGATGAAGAGAGAGGGAGTACTGGATATACTAGGTGTTTTAATGGCGGTTTTGGTTGCTTCATCTGGTTTATTCTTTTGGTGGAGGAAAACATTTTAAGTTTTCATTATAAAAATATGACATAAATTATCTGTAAATTCGTTAAAAATTGAAATTTCAAGTACGTAAATTTCAAATGTAAAAAAATTAAGTTTGTACAAAGTTGAGGTAGTTGAAGGAAGACAAAATTAGAGTCACGACAATACAAGTTTTTTTAAAGTGGGGAGCGAAATTTTTGGTAGATTTAGGAAAATAAAAGAGTACTTTTACATAATTTATCATATAGGAGGAAATTAGAAAAATAGTTTGAAATTTTATATAAGTTTCTGTCTAAAATAATTAGGAAAGTTATTATTATTATCATATTATTTATTGGACAGGCATGTAAGATGGTCAATTACATGTGATATAATCACACGTGTCTAGGAAGATGTATATCATTAAGTACTAGTGTCAAGATAGTATAATACCATGCACACTGACAATTAAATAGGATTTAATGCGTTGCTTATTATTTGAGGGACACGTCTAGTGTGTGATTTTCTTGATCGGTTAGTGGGTGAAATGGTAAAAGAGTGATTTCAATTTTTCTAATTTACTAAAATAAAAACAACAAATTTGACACAAAAATATGCGTGTACATAATATACTAATAATAGTCGTTTGATTAAACTTGTTATACTACTAGATTTATATCTTTTATTACCCATGATATAATTTGATTTTTATCACTAATTTGTATAAAAGTAAATTTTTTTTTAATCAAAATATAAAATAATTATTATACCTCAAAATTTTTATAAAATAAATAAGATGTAAAAAAAATAGTTGATGAATATTTTATATAATTCATATTTTAAAATTTTTAATTATATAAAAATTAACTACATAGTAATACTATCATATTAGATAGATAATTAATATATTTAATAAATAACTATTATATGTTATTATAAAAAATAAGTAAAAATTATATCTATTGTCACATTATTTATCAATATTTAAAACTATTTTGAACATATTTTGTAATAAATTAAAATTAAATAATATATATTTTTTTTTAAAATAGTAGAGATATCAAACATAAAATTATTTTGAAATTTAAGAATTACTGTGCCAATAAATATTAAACTTGATAATAAATCAAATCCATCCCCATTCTCACGTCTTTAATACATTTAATTTAATATTAATTTTGATTTCTTGATATCAAATAAACAATTTATCAACAATTAATTTTACAAATTACTCTTTTGATTAAATTAATTTCGTTAGTTGGGTTTATAATCAGAAATGGGGGTGGTTAATACGTCTAATCAAAAGTATTAAGCAAATAATTGAGGACAAAGAGTGTTCAGAAAGACTGGATGCAGGAACAGAAAGAACAATAAATAAGTTTTATTTCTTTTGATTTTAATTTATTGGGATTCAATATCTCT